GAGACAAATAATTCTTTAGCCTTCCTAGATGTTTTAGTCATCCGAAATCCTAATAACACTATTGGTCACACTGTGTTTAAGAAAAAGACCCATACCAACCGATATCTAAATGGTGAATCTCACCATCATCCTTCACAGTTAGCTACCGTGGGTAAATCTTTGTTTCAGAGAGCACGAGGGATCTGTGACAGAAAACATCTGGCCGCGGAGCTTCAGCACGTCAAGCAAGTATTGCAAGACAACAAGCTTCGGGTCCCGCGCCTACGTCACAGTGAACGAGTGAAGCCGGCCACAGTCGAGCGCGCGCCTGCTCTACTACCATATGTCAGAGGAGTCACGGACAAGATTGGCTACATCTTGAAGCGAGCGTTCATTAAGACATACTACAAGCCGCTGAAGAAGATTAGTCAATTTTTACCATCCATCAAATGTATTATTCCTCTACAAGATGCAGGTGTGTACAAGCTAGATCGTGAATGTGGTCTCTCTTACATAGGTCAAACAAAGAGATCTATAAAAACCCGCGTGAAGGAACATATAGCTGATGTGAAGCACCGACGCTCCGGGAAGTCTGCAGTCTGCGAATATGTTCAAGATCCTCCCCACCATTACATTAGATTTGATAAACCACAAATTCTCGCAAAAGAACACCGATTCCTACCAAGGATGATACGCGAGGCTATTGAAATTAAAAAACATCCAAATTTCAATAGAGAAGATGGTTGGGTGCTACCATCAGCTTGGGATCCTATAATTAACAAAATTAAACCAAAACCCAAGCATACCACTGCAAGACTTCATGATACTATAAGCTCGTTTTGCGTGAATCGGACCAAAAATTAATATTAAAAAAAAAAACTGAAGGTAGCCGGACTGACTATGACATTGGGAAAATTGTAGTTATTTTTATTGTAATAATTAATTAAGATAAGTTTACTAATATTGAAAATGGATTGAAATTGTTTTATTCATTTTCTTATTAATAATTATATTGTTTGAGCTTTAACTTAATAAATAGCTTAAGTACAGTCTTATACATAAGTTAATAGTTATTTTGTAATGGAAATCATTTTATCGGCTTACGGTACTTCATATTTTGTTACAATATTTTTTCTGAAATAAGGATTTTTATGGATTAACGGTTCACTGTGTGAAGTGAAATTCACCTATTTGTATTTCGATATAATTTCGTAGATGTATTCAGAAAATGCGATAATATTGAAGGTTGCGGGTACGGAACTACCATAAAAAGTTAACGCACATCATAAGAAATAAAATTAAAGCAGAAGACGAGTTTCATATATTATGTTTATGTTTAAAGACATTTATTCTCATAAAGACATTTTATACGCCACTTACATGAGAACATAAATAAAAGTAAATCTAAATAACAAAATTTGTTATCGTACCTATGTTGTTGAAAAATAAATAACATCAAAATCAGCTAAAAACGGGAAAAATCTATACAAATAAAAGAAAAGTTAAATTCTAGTATACACTATCACCTTAGCACCACAATACTAAGACCAGGAAACAAACCAGTCCAACGCACTCAGATAGATATGTTTGTGATTATATGATTTGCTAGTCGCTTTTTGAATACATTGAACGAGTCTACATTTTTTATTTCCGAGGGTATCTTATTAAAAAGGCGCGAACCTTCGCATGTAATTGTGGTCTGGCCGTACTTTGTTCGAGTTTTAGGCAAAACAATGAAGCTTGCGCGTCGAGTGCAGATTCGCCCAACTTTTTTTCGCTTGGTGAATTGCAGATCCGTGCGGACCTTCTTGTTCATGGATTTGCGAATAAAGATACATGTGCTGTAAATGTATAATTGTTTGATATTCATCAGATTCGTCTCTCGGAAAAATTTTGAAGTTGACGTTCGGAAATTGTAGTTGAATAGCATTTTTATGATTTTAATTTGTAGGATTTGTAATTTGTTTAATCTAGTACTGGCAGCGCTTCCCCAGACCTCGATGAGATATAACAGGTGTGGTTTAACTAGGGCATTATATATTGTGAAACGTAGTTTCTGTGGTATGTATCGAAAATTAATCCGAAGTAAGGCGTGAAGTGTACTTAATTTGGTTATTAAATATTTAATGTGAACTTTCCACGTTAAATATGTATCCAAATGAAGGCCAAGATATTTTTAATTAGTTTCTTCTTACAATGGTGTATTGTTTATTTTAAGAGGTGAGAAATTAGGTATAGGTTTATTTTTTGCTTTAAATATTATGTAGCTAGTTTTGGAAATATTGAGTTAGTAAATTGTATTGTAACCAATCGCGAAGAATGTCAAGGTCCTGCTGGGCTTGAGAGACAAGATCATGAATTGAAGAACCAAAGTAAAAAAGACAAGTGTCATTGGCGTAAAGTGTGATATTGCCATTCAAGCCCAACTCATGCATATTGTTAATATAGACTAAAAAGAGCAGAGGACCCAATATTGAACCTTGTGAAACTCCATAGGTTATGGGTTGTGGGGGACTTTGAGTGCTACTGTCTATTTTAACGACCTGGGATCTATTCGTGAGGTAAGACTCAAATATTTTTAAGGATATGCCAGTAATACCAATGACTTCCAGTTTTATTAAGAGCAGTTTATGACTTACGATGTCAAACGCCTTTTTAAATCGATGAATACTCCTAGTACGATGTTTTTCTTATCAATGTTTTGTTTGATTTTAGTTAGCAGATCAATTGTAGCTGTGACTGTATTACTTTTAGAACGAAATCCGTACTGTCTATCAAAAAAGAAATCTATAGAATCTAAGTAGTTTTATAGCCGTGTATGTAAGACTTTTTCGAGAATTTTTGATAATACTGGCAGTACGGAAATTGGTCGATAGTTGCCCGGTTCTGTTTTTGGTCCCGATTTGTAAATAGGTGTTAATTTGGCTATTTTAAGTGAGTCTGGAAATGATCCGTTTTATAAAAGTTTCTTAAAGTTTTTCATTAATGAATTTATTATTAAGTCCTTCACACACTTGATAACTTTTGTACCAATAACATCTAGACCGACACTACTGTTTGAATCAAGTTTGTTTGTATATTACGTGTGGGATATCATGAAAGGGTTATTTCCTGGGCTTCATAACCTCGATAAGATCTATTTGCCTATCGTGGTAACTTCGGTATCCCGTGAGCGGTTATTTTTAGAGGCTAGATCTACAATCAACCAGGAGAGAAACCACTTACTCGGCACCAGGTTGTCAAAATTGTTATTTTAAAATTCAATTCGAAAGAAATAAACGTAAAAGTAAAATATCTTTAATTAATTCTTGTTTTCTGATAATTATTCCGTAAATTTAATGTGTAAAAATAAATAGTGTAAAACTTCCTAAAATAACATAAATATAATGTTTAATTATTATACTTCTTTATTTCATTTCTGTTCAAAATGATTATTTATTCCATATGTATGTTTTATAAAAAAACATTGAAAAAATTGATATATCGTACATAAGCTTTGATGTCTTTAATGAGCGATGTTGCATCATATAGATGTGCTTACTTGGAAAAATTAAGACTCGAGTTTACTCAAGTTCAAATTAACACAACTCGAACTAAACTCGAGTTACGCAACTAGAGTTAGCAGGACGAAACACAGTAAATGTTTTATTACAATTACTTTAAAAATATCGATTCAATAAATATATATACTTTTTTCACTTGTCCATCCCTATGACTGAGTAAGGGTGTAAAATCAGGATAGTGTAATAACTGACAACCCTAACTATGGGCCACACCCACCCTTCATTCAGGGTGGTGTAATAGTGGCAATACATATATACATTTCTGTATATATTACTCTACTCTTTGCGGTAAACAGTAATCCATGAGGAGTTTTGGCGGGAACCGGGAACTTGGCCGACGACGGACGGTCGCTCCTGTTTTGTCGTTTGAATAATGGTTTAAAGTGGATTTAAATTCGTAAAAGTGATGTAATTTTGTGAATTAAGTGTCTGTGCGTGTGAACTATTAGAAAAAACGACGAAAAAAAGTGCTTTGATGTTGATATAAACCTCAAGTTAATTTGATCGCTTGGGCGCCTTATGAACTTGAGTGGCTGTCGTCATCAACAGTCCGATGGGTTGAGCTGTTGTCAAAATCTCCCAAAAACTTCGCAATGTGACGCATCAGCATATTGTGAAGAAAAAATATATAAAATGAATGTTCTGGAAGAAATGATAAGCTCAGAAAGGCAAGTACCCAGAGCCGTAAAGCCAGTTAAATAAAATAATATAAAAGTAATCTATGATTCTACAGAACGAAGCCCAATATAAATATAAGGTTATAATATCAATTATATGTTCTTAAATAACTTAAAATTAAATAAAGAGTAAAAGTTTTAGTATAAATAAGGGTTGGATTTAGAATCGTTTGGCAGGAATTTGGGGGAGTAAGGTGTTTTATTTGGTAGAGGTTTGGTCCCCGATTATAATAATACCACTCACATTAACACTCAGAAGTAGGAGCCCCGCGAGGCTCCGTCGACCAGCCTTCCCTCGTCTGCGCTACGTGGTGCTGCCTCTCTCCCCCCTGAGCTCCCCCCATAAATAAGGATTATAGTCAAAAAACATTACAAAAATATAACCTCAAAATTAGATTTTTAAAAATTTATAAAAAAAACTAAGCATGTCCGGCAGGACGTGGAAGTGGGGGGCGACTCTACAACTCCCCCGCCTCCCTCCACCACCTCTCATCCCCTTAATTCATATTGAATTATGATTTTGAGGTTAGTTCTATGGGATTTTCTTTTTGGTTTTTCTCAAGAACGGTGCGTTACTTTTTAATTGGAGTGGTATTATTATAATCGGGGACCAAACCTCTACCCAATAAAACACCTTACTCCCCCAAATTCCTGCCAAACGATTCTAAATTTCAACCACCTTTAATTCACTGAACTTCTTGTTCTTTTATGTAGGTATGTAACAAGTTTTATTTTATGAAGACGAAGGTTACTATTTAACTGGAATACATAACTAAGCGCAATGGACGGGTTCGAAATAAGAACATCTAATAGTAAAAAGGTAAATTATTAAAAGTTCCATCTGTCTAACATTTATAATATGTGGATCGTTGAAATTTTATTATTTTCATTATTATTTAAAGGGGAAAGGATTGTTTGCGACGAAGAGGTATGACATAGGTGACGTTATTCTAGAGGAAGATCCTCTTGTTTCGTGTCAATTTGCTTGGAATGCGGCCTACAGATATTTAGCTTGTGACTACTGCATGAGGTAAACCAGTTGTTTTGTTGTTTTTTAATTGGAGGTTAGAAATGGGAGCAAACAAATCACTCTGATAAATAAATGTTAAATTTATAAAGCTACAGCCTATAAACGTCCCACTGCTGGACGCATGCCTCCTCTCATTTCTGAGGGGGGTTTTAGGGCAAGGACGTGTCCGCTGCGCTGGCCCAATGCATCTTGACGTAAATTATTGTAAATAAAGTTATTTGTCTTATTATTTTACATAATAGTAAATTAAATGCTTTAAAATTTATGTAATTTTAATTTTATTAGGCCATTAGAAACACCAGAACAGAATGTAAGACGTCTATCATGCAAACCAGATATAGTATTACCGCATGCTAGTTGTTTCGACATAAATTTGGAGAATGTGACTACTTGTGATCAATGTGGAATTTTATACTGTAGTGAAGATTGTAAGCACCGGGCATATGTGACCTACCACAGAACTTTATGTTATGATACTAGTGATGCACAACATCCTGTGATGGTGCTTTTGGAGACTTGGAAGTTAGTATAATTTCATACTTATTTCATAATATTGGCAAAACTATGATGAATCATTGAGACTTATTTAATTTCTATTTGTATTTATTAACATCTAGAAATAAGTGGTATGTTTATAAGTTTAAGTGGTAGAGACATGCTGCAATATGGCAATTGCAAATAATTGCAAATATTGTAGCAAGAATGGTTGCGCTCAATTGGGGTAGGACCACACTCTCACAGAATGCCAGTGTAATATAGCAGCTTAATGCTGCTGTAATTCGTATGGTAAGTGTAGAGAATCAGAGAGTCTTTTTACCCAAAGTGAGGTATTCCATCTTAGTCCTTAGGGTTGACAACACATTGCATTTTGATTGTTAATCGAGGATAAATGTAGATCTCTATGGGCCACAGCATCCACTTACCATCAGGTAGACTGTGTGCTTGTTTGTCACTTTGATTCTATAAAAGAGAAAGTGTAATCCACACACAGTAGAAATGAAATCTTCGGAAAATGGCTACAAAGCACTGCTCAAAGAGGAGACTGAGATAATAGGAAACACTGTGTAATGTACTTTATCTACTTCTCTTGCAGGCAAAACCTTTATAGATGTATATGTTTGTCTCTTTTTAATAAAGAATTAGACTAACATTGTGTACAAGTAGATTTACCATTGTGTTCTTGAGACAGCATGCCTTAGACCTACTAGTAGGAGGTCAAAGATAAATATTCCTTCATAGCTACAACTAGTAACATGAATTAAAATTTCAAGCTGATAATCAGGCCAAAAGAGCAATTTCAGTATGCTACTTTTGGTATATTAGTTATATTTAGATGATTCTAGTATATATTTTATTTAAATGCTCTATTACCTAACATATTAAGAAAATGATTTTACTCTTCAGGCAAATGCACTATCCACCAGAAACAACAAGTGTAATGCTTTTAGTAAGGATATTGGCCTTCATAGAGCAGAGTAGCAATTCTTCAGCTGCGGCTGCTACAGTCAAACAGTTTTGCCACAGAACAGTTAACGAGGATGCTGAACTGGTTCATAAGTTGCTAGGTGAACAGTTTAAGGAGCAATTAAATACTTTGAGGGAATTAACAGCTAATGTAATCAATGGTGACCATGTACAAGAGGTAAGTAAATTGTTACAGTTTGACTGGCAACCCAGTTTAAATATTAACATATATGCATAGTTTTTAATGGTTTTTTGGTTACTATTTATTCCCAAGAGAGAAAACCATTTAACTTTGTAATAGGTTGGGGAAAAGTTTCTTCATATTTTGCTTTTAAGTTGAAGAAAAATCTCTGGTTGTACTGTTTACATCTGGCTGGTTTTAATATTGATACATATAGGACATTAAGAAAAAGAAATAGAGATGTAAAAAAAACTCCTACCATTTTTCAATAGTTTTTCTGTCTGCCAAAATGAGTGAATTTAATGAAGAAATTCGATACATTGAAGTTTTTTTACAAAGAAGAATGCAACTCAAGCCGCAAAAACCCAGACCTAGTGTCAGTAAGAAGCACAAAGTTGGTTCAAATTTTATCAGTTTTTTTGTTTTCAAAAATTTTGATGTCAAAAATGCAGCTCGCTCTAGTGGCCCTCATATGGATAAAGTCTATATAAGCACTCCTTTCCCTGGACATCCACAAGTCAAGTAGGCCTGATGGAATACCCCCAATTGTACTGAGGACGTGTGCTCCAGAGTTGGCACCAGTTCTAACTCATCTTTTTCCGGAACTCCTACTCCCTAGGCGTAGTCCCAAAATCATGGAAATGGCTTCCGTTCACTTGATCGACTACAGGCCTATCGCCATCACTTTGTTCTCCAAAATAATGGAATTCATTATAAACTGCCAGTTCATGTGGTATCTTAAGGATTACCAGTTGATCAGTGACCGCCAATATGGTTTTCTTTGGGGTCGATCAGCTGGTGATCTTCTAGTGTACCTGACTCGTCGATGGGCGGAGGCAGTAGAGTCGAAAAGGGAGGCACTGGCCGTTAGTTTGGACATTTCAAAGGCCTTTGATCGGGTTTGAAACAAAGCGCTTCTTTCGAAGCTCTATTCCTATGGGCTTCCCGAGAAATTGTGTAATCGGATCACTAGCTTTCTTGCAGATCCGATTGTGTGATGGTGCATGGTCCGATTATAAGCTTATTATTGCTGGTGTTCCACAAGGCTGTGTGCTATCACAACACTGTTTTTTCTGCATATTGATGATATCTTGAAAACCGGTAACATTCATTGCTATGTGGACAACAGTACTGGTGATGCTCTCTACTCCGGCCATGCCAATATTTCTCGGGAAAACACTCCGAGTACCGGGACAAACTTGTGTCTGAAGTCGAGTCTTTGCTGAACAAAGTCCCGGATTGGGGGCGACTAAATGTACCCATTTATCGTATCTACTCAGTTTCAAAGCACTTCCCTCGTTCATGTCTTTTTTTCGTGTTCGCTCATATCTGGGCTGGGACTCCCCAATGCCAGTTTCTTCCACTTGACCGCATCCAGCGCAGAGCGGTTCGAATCGTCGACGACCGAGTGCTTTCCGATCGGCTTGATTCACTGGCGCTGCGAAGAAATGTTGCATCTCTTTGCATTTTCTTTCGCATATACCATGGGGAGTACTCTGAGGAATTTTTCGGATTATCCCAACGCACCTGCAATTCCCCTGGTGGTGCAGTTGTTTAAAAAAACGTTTACCCCTACACTAGGATTTTCTCTTGTATCGTGGGGGCAGTTTAAAAACATAAATTGCATAAGGACAAACATCCGGACCTGGAACAATTATTTGTAGGCCATACAATTACTTGTTCCAGGCGGGTTTCGAACCCGCGACCTCCAGCGCAGCCACTCATTGCTAAGCCACTGCGCCACGGAGTCGTCACTTCACGTATGTGTAGATGAAGTGGGATTAGCTCCAGTATAGCCTCTAAAGCTGCTGTTGGTGTAGTTCTTATGCAGGCTGTGGCAGCTGAAGCTTCTTTATAGCAGTGGCTTCATTAGTTTTGATCCACCGTGCCAGAGTACCAGAGCTTTGTACTGAAAATACTTGGGAGATAATAGTTCTTCATAATTCGTTTTTGTGTGAACATTACTAGGACGGTTTTATTCGGATTAATGGTCGAGTCATATTTCCTGCACTATCTCTCCAATATACAGAGAACTCTTCGGTCAGTTTGCAGAAGTGAATGGAAGAGTCTGAAAAGGACATCCTAGGTAAAAGTTTAGTGACCAAATTGGGCATATATTGAACATGGGCCAAATTAGGAGTACTGTTAACCGACGAGCATGTATGCATAGGTATATGAATGTGGAGGAGGCGAGAGAGGTGTGTGTCGTGCCAAATGGTAGTCTGTAGTCTCTGCCTACCTCTTTGGGTGACAGGCGTAAGTGTTTATGTTATGTTATATTTTATAAACAAAACATTTCTATATAGTTATAACTACTGATAACTAAGAGATTTTGGTAAAAGGTTACTAGGGCTGAAAAAGTGTTACAATTTGTAAAAGAAAAACAGAAATTTCTATACCTTTATTTTTACATTATTCCTTTCTTATTTACAGTTCCTTACACCAGAAGGGTTTTGCTCCTTAATGGCACTGATAGGAACTAATGGACAGGGTATTGGAACCAGCCCTTTAGCCTTGTGGGTAAATTCTGTGCTAGAAGTAACTATGTCAGATGACGAGAGACAGCAACTAGACTTGTTCATTGACAAGCTTTATCAGTATATAGAAGAAGGTAAGTGACAACTTACAATCTTAAGTAGTTGATGACTTAGAGAAATGATAAAAAATCTCAAGGCTTCTGATAGAAGGAGGACATCTCATATTATGTGAATATCCAGACCGGTTATGGAAATACCCTCTGAACTTTTCAATGGGGTGGCAGTCATCTATTATATGCCAGTGATGAAACTGGTTATGGAGACATGCTCTGAAAGTTCAATAAATAAAAGTATTATACATTCCATACAATATTTATATGTTTATTGTTTTATTTACACAAAACACAATGTGAGAATCATATTAAGTAGTTACAATCCAATACTCCAAATATAATAGAATGAAAGGTTGTATTAATGCATTTTGTACTGTAGCCTCTTTATAAATAACAAAACTTACACTTTTCCTGGATCTTATTAATTCTAGTAAAAAAAGAGATATTTAAATATATGTAGGAAGGTAGTTAAATAGAATTAATTTACAACCACAAAATAAGCAGATCACAGGTAATCAACTATAAATTGTACTGACATTTAATTAATAGCTGACAATAATAATAATTCGTTTGCACGAATTAATCATCCGAATAGTAGCACGATACAACAACTGAACAGTGCCGCGTCAGAGCCATGACTGCCTGCTCCGCCGCCAGGGTTGCCGTTCTACAAATTTTAAAGTCCCTAGACTAACAGAAAAAATCCGCCAGAAACAGGATTTTTCTTTTTCTTAAAATCCGCTAGATGTCATTTACATTAGTCAGTCAGTCAGTAGTTATGTCATTTACATAGTACATTTTCGTGCTACCATTGGGCTAACTGAAAAATCTTGCCAAATGGTATACAATGAATACCGAAAATCTAAATCTATAAATTCAGAAAAACCTTAAAAAGAGCGGAATCTATTTCATATAAATCAGTTATTTATAGTGTAGGTTAATGACATGACAACCAAAACAAAAATTATTTATGTACAAAATAATAAAATATTTAAAAAAAATGTTTAATCTTTAAACCACGTTTAAATATTAGTCATCTTATTAAAAATAAAACAATTAGCTCAGTACGTTCTTTTACCTAAATTTCAAAATTAATAGCGAAGTATGGATCCAGATCTTCAAAAAGAATTTCAGCGAAAGTTGAAGCTTCGCCAATGTCTCCAGTTCCCATCTTTGGTTTGCCTTTACCCACTTGGTTGAGAATATCTTCAGGAATATCATACGTTGCGCAATTCTTTTTTTTTAAATCCTTAACTCATTTATATTCAGAAAAATGGAATTTAAAAGTTTTATCTGATAGCTTGTTTCGCAGTTTGCTTTTAACTACATTCATAGCACCAAATATGCGTTCAAATTCTGCATTTGAATGCGGTAGTGATAATATTATTATTGGAAAATTACATAAATCTTTGAACATGTTTACTCCTGCTGCATTTTTGTTTGATGAAACAGATGAAACGAATGAACGACATTGAATTGTTAGTTTATGTTCGGGAATTCCCGTGAAATTATATTATATATACGGATTCCAAAATTGGACATAAGATAAATGACTTATTTGAAATGAATTACTATATAAAAAATCGTCATCTCAAAAGTTCAAATGTCGCTAGAAGTCGTTAAATAATTATTTCTCGCTAAAACGATTTTTTTATCCGCCAAACATTGTTAAAATCCGCTAGATCTAGCGAGAAAGTCGCTAAAACGGCAACACTGTCCGCCGCTGCGCGGTCGTTTTATACCCGTTGTTGCAAAGGAAGCCGAGTAGTGGTGCGGGGGGGGGGTACTGAGCGACACGCCGGACGGCGCGATCGGTGCACGTGTTCTTTACAATTTTGCTGTACCGACGTACGACGGCGCCGCCGTCATGCCGTCACATATTTAAAATAATTTTGCTACTAAAATTTAACAAAACAATACTGCTATATTTGTATGTGCCTGTTTCATTTATGTTAGAATATTTCAGTAATCTGTCAATGTGTGAACTTTATATAAGTTGACAGCTAAAGAAAAAATTTTTCTTAATGACCTCTGTCACATTATGGCAAGTCACATGCTACCAGACGTATTGCATCTTTGACGTTGCTTCCCTTCGCCGGGTTCAGATCTTATATGAGATATATATTATGAAATGGTTGCAACACTATCTATCTTCCGCCTTAATATTTATCTTGTATTTCCCCTTTAAAAAAAAAGGAATAATTTATTATACCTTGGTCTAGCTTATAATCCGATTCTAAATGTCAAATTAAGTAATTTTGATGTGAAATAAAAGAAAAGTTAAAGGAAAAGTAAAAATTTGTTTTGGAGCCATTGTATGAGCTCAGATAGTTGCGCTCGCTGTAAATTTCACAGTATGCGAGCAACCCGGGTTTGATCACTGCCGGCACTAATTAAATTGTTAATTGCAATTTTAAGTGCTGATTTACCACGTATTCAGTGGTGAAAGAAAACATCGTGAGGAAAACTGCATCTCTAAGAAATAATCAGAAAAAAATATTTCGAAGACATGTGAAGTTCGCCAACATTTATGTGGGAGCATGGAGTACACTTCCTTGCCCTAAAACCATCTCAGAAATCAGAGGTCTGTGGGCGTATATAGCCTGTAACTTTAACAATCTTAATGTAAAAATTATCTTAAATAAAACATAAACATACATTTTTTTCAGAATCTGGTACATTCCTTAACACAGAAGGTTCTGGACTCTTCTGCTTACAGAGTGCATGCAATCACAGCTGTGATCCCAATGCTGAGTCATCTTTTCCCTATGGAAATCACAGGATACAATTGAAAGCTCTCAAACTAATCATGCCTGGTGATGAGATATGTATAAGTTATCTAGACGAGTGTTCATTGCATAGATCAAGGCATTCTAGACAAAAGGCAAGTAAAATTATAACCTATCAGCCCTTCTGATCTTCTTTAGTTATATTTTGTTATAATTAGAAATGGCCTGTTGCTTATTTTCAACCATAGCAACAAATTCTGACTACTTTTTTTTATAGAATTAGGGTGACAAATGGGCACACAGTCCACCTGATGGTAAGTAAAATGCAGATGTGTTGCCAGCTCTGAGGACTGAGATGGAATGTCTCGTTTCCAGTAAAAAGGGTTTCCGGTTCACTACGCTCACCATACGAAACACTACTATTAAGCTGCCTCTCCTCATATGACTACTTTTAAACTGCCATGCTGGCTCTATCATAGCAAATTATATGAATGTAGGTAGTATTGCGAGTTATTCAAATATTTATTTTAAATTAATCCATGTTTTCATATTTTTAAAAGGCTTATGTTTAACTCATCACCATATATAGTAACATATAACAGACAAAAATAGTAAATGATTACAAAAATTAAACCCGCATTTTAATATAAAATTATAACCAATGTTTTTACATCTCGCTATCCTATTTAAGCAAAACGACTGCAAATAAATCGTTGTTAATCCAAAAGTAGTAAATGATCACCAAAATTAAACCAGCGTTTTAATGTAAAATTATAACCAAAGTTTTTACATCTTGCTATCCTGTTTAAGCAAACTGACTCCATTTTTAGTAATCTGCCGCACGAATATATGGTCGCCGAGTAGGCGGGTAGAGGGGGAAGGAGGTAGGAACCTCCCCCTTAAAAAGGGGAAGTGCCGGAGCCCCCCCCTTTTTATGAAATTGAGTTTATTTCTGCTGTGTCCTGTGTTAAAACCTCAATTTACAGTTTTGTGATCCGGCAATTCGCCGGCCGCTGCCGCGGCACACTCGCTGCGCTCGCTCGGCTCCGCACACATTCGAAGTGGGCTTAGCGAGCCTACTTCGGATGTGTGCTGGTGGACTGCGGCGAAAGGGGTGTCCTCTCCCCCTACCGCTGCAGCCAAGGTGGAGCCGCGGAGGAGGAGGGTCCGCGACTCAAACGGGGCCGCACCGTTGATGCGGTGGTGGTGGGGCTGCGGGAGGAGAGGAGTGTTGGTATTGCGAGGCGCTACTCTCTCTACCCTCCACAGCCGAATCTTGGTTGGCGGCGGAACCATAGACCAGATCCGCCGCTGGGGTCAGGAAGACTACTGCTCGTGCTTTTCCTTACCCAATTGCCTTCGCGCATCGGACACGGGGGCGTCCGTTGCGCAGATGTAGTTGGAGGCCGTGGAGGAAGGCGCGCCATGTGTTCTGGTGCGCCTTACTAGAGAAGGAGAAAGGGTAGGAGTAGTTCTCTTCTGAGGAGGCACAGCCATGGGGTGGCCGGCGCTGGTGGGGCAGCAGATGTGTGCGAAAGCGTTCCCGTGGCCCTACCAATATGCGACGAGGGTGGAACACCATGGGGTTTTAGTCGGTGCGAGTCTGACATAACCTGTCCTTGCCCCCGTGAGGCGGGTATGCGTAGGCATTCCCCCATGTAAAAAGAAAAAGGTTGCGCCTAACGGACCTATGTTGTGTTCTATTCATTATGATTTTTAAATTAATGGACATGAACATAACTTAATATGGCATCATAATACTTTATTCGGTAATAAGCCTACATTTTATGGCAATCACAGTGGTTTATTTAGGCAGAAATAGCGCATTAATTTGCTTGCTCGCTAAGATTTGGTGATCATTTACTACATTTGGTGTTCCAATACAACTTGAAGTGCAGTTGTGACTAAAATAGCTAGTACTACTATTGTAATTTTAGGCTTTATTTTTCTGGTGTCAAGTATATATTTTTGGTAAAAGAACTAAGGGCATCAAAACATTTTATGGTGGTCATTATAATATTTAACCCCCTTTTAAAATATTGTCTAATTTCTTTATTAGACCGACTTTCTGGAAACCATCAAAACTACTTTTATTTTTTTATATAATCCTTTGTTCATTCTGTTTAAGTGATTATTATAAATGCTATTAATTGCGACCTCTAGGAGTTGCCTTTGGCTACAGAAACGCCAGCCAGAAGATTTAATAGTTTGAATGTTTTAATGTTTTCATCATGAAATAACTTTAATTTACTAATTTATACATTTTTTTCAGGAATTGGCACAAAATTATTTATTTGTATGTTGGTGCGAACGATGCCTTGCACAAGCTTCACAACCTGAGTGTACCAGCGAGGAAGATATGAGCGATGAAGAAATCGACGAGGATGACTGATGTTCCAACTTCCTGGCATTTTGCCTCTTGGGTCTATGATGGACACAAAATCTGATGTCGGTTTTGTGCATAAAATGTGAACTCAAGTGTATAGGATACATTGGAATGAGTGTCAAGTGGTAATTTCAGGGGATTAATTTTTTTTGTATAAAAGCTATGGTCAAAATCACAAATAAGGAGTTATTTTTGAACGCCTCTAAATGTATATTATAGGAAACGTACTTCTACCTACAATATAACATAAAATATTGTGTAAAAATGTGTAAACTAAAAGAATAATGATTTTGCGTCATTAGTATTTAAGGACTATATGATAAATATGAAATCATTGGTATTTACTATTATGTATTAATAACTCGTATTTAATTTACGATGAAAAACTTAAAGTTAAAAAAGTTAAGTTAAAGCACTTCCTGTGTTTTTTATTTATAGTTTTTGAGAAAAATTTTGCCGTTATGTACAAACTTTGTTATGGCCAAAGTTCGGCCTTCATATTTTATTGAATATCGAGGGTAATACGATATATTTACGCTAAAAAAATGTTTTTGTTAAAAAAGGATTCGTCTGATGGAACTCAGACTAGTGTTAAAGCAAACAATCTCTATTATATGGTTTTATATGTAATAAAACGAAAATATTTTTTCTGTATAAAAAAGAAACTATATTTTTCGATACAATAATTTCGTTTGTCAAATCTTTTTAAATCATCTTGTTTGATGCGATACTTACTTGTCATACAACTTGGAATATAACTGCTTTTACAGGTTTTATCGCGTTTATCAACCTCGCTGTTAAAATATTTAATTGATCCCTTTTGAATCCTCGAACACAGATTCTTACCAAGTGTCATTTGTAAGGCTGTTATAATTAAAAAACATTCAAATTTTGAAAGTGGCTAGGTATTATCATTTGCTTCGAATTGTGTCGTTCGCATTTGACCTCAGGGGTCATTAAAGCTACATTTTATTTATTCAAATAAATAAAATACGATATGAACATTAAAATTTTGAAAAGTGGACAGGTATCTACTTCTAATCGAGTCGTTCGAATTCGACTTCCGGGGTTATCGAATCTGCATTTTGATTCTTAATCGAGGATCGATATAGATTGTATGTTCATTTGTCACACACTACTATAAAAATGGCATCTGTAAATCAAACGACTCCCATGTCTATTACTGCAAAGCATTACAAAGGTCGGGATGTCTAAATAAGCATAAAACCTTAAGCCAAAAAATTGTAAAATTAGTATATTGTATATTATATACAAATAAAAAAAATATTAAATTATGTAATACTTATAAAGCACAGTTACTATGAAACATGGCCTAAATTAAACAACTATTTTACACAATACAATCATTTTTTGGCTGTTGCATATACCTAATTAAGTTTAAGCTATAATTTGTAGAGATGGGCCGAATATTCGTTTCATATTCGGTATTCGGCATATTCGGCAGCTTTACCGAATATTCGTATTCGGCCGAATATTCAGCTAAATCACCGAACATTCGTTAAAGTGATACAAGTGTCCACTGTATTGAAATGTGAGAATTGAGTAATGCCATCTATTTCATAATTTTATTATTGAAAGTGTATTTTAAATCCACTTTTATAGCGTTATTTATTTTTTATATTTTATTTTATACTGTAGATTTAATTCCAATTATAGCAAAAAGAAAGCTTGATAAAATGTTTTTGGAATCAAAGAAAGAAGAATACATTACAATTAGTACATTTCACTTTACTTCGGTCGTCAGTTTCTTTAAAATAAGTCCAAATAGTGGATTTCCTGCCACTCATTTTTATTATATAATTATCAATTGTCACTAGGAATAACACAACGAAATACTTTTTTCTCACATAAATAGTCAAAACATAAGCGTGTGCCGGCAATTTGTTTAGTATTAGATGATGCAATAACATGTCAGGTGTGGCGGAGGAGTGAGGGGCAGGGTACGACGCTAAACCCGCGCGCTTTACGGTAACAAGTTTGGACATAAATTGGTTAGGTACCGAGGTGATCCTGCCGAATAATGTTCGTCGAATATTCGGTTCGGTAAAAGTTTTACCGAACCCGAATATTCGTATTTGGTGAAATCCATATTCGGCCCATCTCTAATAATTTGTATGCATCGTCCAAAATGTTAGTCAACGAAAGGCTGTATATTTTTTTTCGCGCGCAATCACCAGATCTAGAAATCACCCGTGCGCAGGCGGGTCGGGTTGCCAGTTAATTTATATTATTTAGTTTTAAAAGCAATGTAAACCTAGAAAAACTTAGACTGTTACTATTACAAGTCAAATTATTATTATAAGCACAAAACGAAAATATTATGTATGTAGTCTGATAGATTGTAGAAAAATTTCGTAGGTAATGAAAGATGTTAAGAAATCAAGTGACTAGAGATATAAAAACGTTAATAAATTTAAACATTAAACTAGTTCGATGCTAGAAACAATTATTTAGAGCACATTTTTTTCGAATTCGATAGATGCTATATAGGTTGCCGCCAAAAAGTTGTGCCTGCAGTATTGCACGCATCTGCATCCTTGTTTGAAGTTGGCTACAGGTGTCCATGAATTGCATAAGCCACCATCAGGTGGACTGTACGTTCGTTTGTCACTTCAGTTATGTGGTAGATACATGGTAGAGCCATATTGCAGCTATATTAATACTATAGATGTAGCACGAATGGGTCGGCTCGACTCGAGAAGGACCACCCTCTCAGAATACCAGTAAAACGCTGCTGTGTTTCGTATGGTAAGTGTAGTGAATCGGAGACTTTTTACTGGAAACGAGGCATTCCGTCTTAGTCCTCGAGTGACAACGCATCTGCATTTTGATTCTAATAAGAGAATAGATGTAGAAGTCTGGGCCGCATCAACCACTTACCATCAGGTGAACTGTGTGCTCGTTCGTCACCCTTTTACTATAAAAAAAAATATACACAAAGATACATGTGGGCACCTCAAATCAATTACAGGGTAATTTTTGTGCCAATAAAGCTGAACATTTATAAAGTTTTACCTATAACAGCAGTCTTAACATCCATCCATCATAGTCATATATTTTAGTGTATTATTGTAGTGAAAGAATAAGAAAATAAAAACAATCTTCTGCATTAACCTATATTAACCACTATTTCACTCAAGATGTTTGTCTATCTATACTATAAACATTCGAGTGTGTTATGCAACGAAAATTTTTGTTATGATATTTTATTTAAAAATTATTAATTAACCCAGATAAGCCTGAAACTAAAATTTTCTGAAAATTTTGAAAAAAGTTACATTATTTAGTTTATTAGATCTTATGCAACATAAAAAAAATTATGAAAAAAAAAATTAAGTGTAAGGCTTTCAGGGAAACAGCCGTCCTATATGTAGGACAGTAGGATAATAAGAGGAAATAAAAGACCATTTATGACAAAACAGAATGTAATTAAAAAGTGTAGTTTATTAGATAACTATTGATTATATTACCCATTGTTATATGTAATTTACTAGATTAACACTATTTATGAATGATATGTTTCAAAACACTTGACACACACTCCAACATCACATTTCTTGCAACGTGTCAAACATTTTTTGTGACATTGACGACAGCGTGTTTGCTTCGATTGAGGAATAACCAGATGATTCATTTGGTCTTTACGACTATCAGCATGTTCATGATGGGAGGGTCGGCTAGGCCCTCTTTTGGCATTTTTTCTGTTTGATTCAATCAAAGCAATTGCTACCCTTCTGCGAAAGCCAAGATGATCCAGTTTTCCATGATTTATTTTATATAACTGCCATGCATTATGTTCGGCAAGATCAATCATGTGTGTGAGCAACGGCATGTACCATTTCTTACCTCGTATACCAATTCGGTAATGTGAAATATTTTCATCAGACCGATCCACTCCTCCCATATATTTGTTATAGATGGACACCATATGTGGTTCTTCTATGACAATGTTTCTCTTTTCACTTTGTGAGAAGCGTTTGGCAGATTGTTTAGGATTTATTCCTACAGCATTAGAAGCAATACTGAATATATTATTTTCATGCCATTTAGCAATAATGAACGTGTTGTCATGTGTCGTTCTGTAATCGACAGCACCACGTTCCTTTTTTTTCAGTAACTTCGATGTAATCAGAGGACAACTAGATGTCCTGTTTTCTCGAATTGTCCCAGTGCAATGAAGGCCTTTCTTTGTTATCTCTTCCAGCAAGGGCGTCCCAGTAAAAAAATTATCAAAAACTACGTGGTAAGGAAGGTCGAAGCCACATGAAATCAGCACATCGCAAAAAGTGAGAACAACGCTTGCACCCAGCCCCAATTCTTTATATATTGGATTGCACATAGTTGTAGCACCTTGGTATGGTTCCATCCATAAAACATACCCTAACCGTGTAGCACCAACCCAAGCTTTGAACCCGTACCTAATAGGTTTACCTTTTATGTGCTGTTTGCAGCCATGTCTACCATAGTAGGGGATCATGGCCTCATCTACACTGTAATGCTCTTCAAGAGGAGAAAACTCTAAGAACTTTTTATTTAGAAGTGTAACTAGGGGGCGTACTTTTGTGTATTTGTCTTGCAAATCCAGATTATCATCGACATGAAGGTGGCGAAAAATAAAGTCGAATCTATCCCTAGTCATAGCCGAGCTGATCAATTCATTCTTTGTATCAGGGGAGTTTTCCCAATACATTCTTCTACGGGGGAGCCATGAATAACCACTAACCAACAATATGCCGATGAAACATTTCATATCTTCGGTGGTTATGTCTCCAGGCAAATTCTTTTTGACAGCATATTTATTGCTCTCTGACACCAACAACGAAATAACATCTTCATCTAAGAAGTTTTCAAACCACTCAATTGGGCGCTTATCTTGGCAAGCGCCTTGAACATCTGGCCAATTCACGGGATTTTTTGCCAAGTCCCGTTTTCTCCATGCGTAGGTACGCCTACGTTTAGTTCGACCTGTAGAATCAGAAGGTTCTTCTTCTGTATCACTCACCATAATCTGCCCTTGAATCATTACTTCAGCCGGTTGAAGCAGAATGTTTCGTGGCAAATTATTCAAAGTTACATTATCTTCTTCACCCGAATCTTCGTCAGTGAGACAGTCAGGATCAATAGGAGGAGGTAGAATACATATCAGTCGTTCTCTATAATCTTCTTCATTATCAGAAACATTTTCTAAAGCATCTAAAATTTCATGCGCAGCTAACGGTCTGTAAAGAAAAAGTTGTATTATTGTACTAAAATCATGTATATTATCCTACTGTCCTATATATAGTAGGTACGCTAGTATTTGTAACAAGTTATACGTAATTTATTTATATTATTTTGCTAGAATATTTATTTAGTACAAAAGTTAAGGTTATCAACTAGATATTAACACAGAAAAAAACAACTCACGAGTAAAATATAACTTTTTATACATACCTGTCATTTGCCATGTCTGCAACGCACTTTTATTACACACTTATAAGGTAAAATATAAGGTAAAAACTGTTAAAATAACTGTCTTTTTATTTTTTCTAATAAAGCTGACACGTTTCTTACTGCAAATCATAAGACTAAATAATCTTAGATAAAGAGGGTATTCTGATATTTTTTTTATTTCTACTGTCCTAAATATAGGACAGTAGGCTTATCTGGGTTAAAGAATTAACCCTTAAATACGCGATTTTTTATTTTATAACGGAAAAAATGTAAACGATATCTCTAAACTCTAAAATAGAAAAAAAAATTTGTAAATTAGGTCTCAAAAATTAAAAAAATTGTTTGTTGCATATCTGCAAGATTGCGCGTTCATTAAGTAACTCAATGTATGGAGCTATAGTTTCAAGCAGATCAAATAAAAACGATTTTTACAGTTTTTTTAATGTTTTATTCATTGTGGAATTTATAAAAACAATTATTTTCTTTATTATAACATAGACTTAACTTACATTTTTCGCATTTAGTATAAGTATAGCCTTTACAATTGGGATACCTGCATCTAGCTCGGTCATCAAATATTTGCCAATGCCCTGTGGAATCTTGTCGAACATCTTTCGGTTGCACTGGTAGTGTTAGAAAGGGAGCTTGGCCGCCCACTTTTGAAATTATTGGGTTGACTACCAAGATTGCACAAGGTATTGGGTAATTCAAGCCTAAAGTTATACAAATTTAGTAATTTTGTATTTTGGTTACAAGTATTAATTTTTTTTGTACATAAGCCATGCATTCATGACGGTCATATCTAATAAATGAAAGAAAAGGCGGTTTGTCCATTTTCTACTTTTTCGGGTTATGTGGTATTTACCAATAAAGCTGTCTAGTAAATCCACCTCGCTCAATGTGTGTATTATAGTCTTTTATAAAATTCGGGCAATCGATTGATACCCTTTCCTTTTGAATCCTATCGTACCTAGCTGTGGTACCGACTGGTAATGCTCCAGCGTAAGACGATTGTAATGTCACTGGTTTATTGTTTTTTCAGACTAACACACTCAAATCAATTCCATCTATGTTTGCTACTGTTTCCACAAAGTGGCCTCGAGGGACGTTCTTCATAATGGTCTTTTCATCAGGCAACTTACTGTTTTTTATTCGGTTAGCTTGAATTGTCCCCAGGCAGTGTATTCCTTACTTTGATAAATAAATTGCTAAAGGAATAGACGTATAATATTGATCGAAATAAATGATATGGTTAGCGTGCCTGGGAACAATCCTCGCCAATCTAACCACGACGTTGCTTGTAGCTCCCAAATACGGTTCACCAGGAAGTAACATCAGCTTTTTGGAACCACTATATACCTCAAATTTGCGTGCAACACCGTAAATGCTACGAATTAAAAATAGTTTGAAGCCCCATTTGTGCGGTTTATTTGGTAAATACTGCTTCATGTAATGACTAATGACTCATTTTGGTAGCACACATTTGCTCATCAATAGAAACCCGTTGTTTTAAAAGAACTGTCACGAAGGACACAACAAAGGCCGCATCTTAAACAATTTATCATGCTGAGGGTGGATCTGGGGTAAGATGTTCTCATTATTGTTAAAATGTAACACGGATGAATTTTTTTTGAAACTACTCATCACATTTTTTCATATCCGTAATTGTCTGCCCAATACAGCCGAAAATTCAGTGGAAGAGCCATGCTGCAGCTATAGTAATTGTATAGTTGTAGCACGAATGGGTCGGCTCGACCGGTGAAGGACCACACTCTCACAGAATACCAGCGTCAAATAGCAGATTAATGCTGCTGCGTTGAGACTTTGTTAAGCAAAGACTCGATTTCAGACACAAGTTTGTCCCGGTACTCTGCGACGATTTCCCGAGAAATATTTGCACGGCCGGTGTATAAGGCATCACCAGTGCTGTCGTCTGTATAGCAATGAATGTTATCGGTTTGCAACATATCACTACAAAAAAACGTAGCACGTAGCCTTGTGGAACACCAGCGTTAATAGGCTTGTAATCAGAGCATGCACCATTTACTACGACCTTGATGCTCCGATTAGCAAGAAAACCAGTGATCCAATCGCACAATTTCTCGGAAAGCACATAGGACGGGAGCTTCGAGAGAAGCGCTTTGTGCCAGACCCGCACAGATACAGCTTTATCTGCTTGGATGCAAATATTTCTAAATCATGAAGGTAAGGCAGGATCTCGCTAAAGCCGGTTACACACGCTAGGTTATAACCGACGGTTACGCTTGCACAGTTCAACTGTGTAATTATAACTGAACGTGTGTATGATATAATTTGTTGCCTGTGCAAGCAAAATTAAAAATATAGAAATTGATATTTTAACCGATCGGCAAGCGACCTGCGCAAGCATAACTGAACGTGTGTGGTAGGCGGGCTTCAGTTATCCGGCAAGTGTCGAGGGGATATGGCGTCGTACGTCACTGCGCAATAATGTTATCTCGCAAACGAAATGCAATTTTAAAGGAATTTATTGGAATAATATAAATCGGAGCCCTGTATATGTCGATTGAAGGATAAAGAGTATCATGACCGAAATAGAAGAGCGGCAGCATATGAAAAACTTGTAAGCAAATTAAGAGAAATAGAGGAAAATGCGACAATAGATGATGTTGTCAAAAAATTACTGCGCAAAAAAATAATTAAAAAAATAATTTAATTAATGGAGTTACTTTCGATAACAGCGTAAGATAAGTTTTTTCGTCCATACGTAAACTATTACGGTAATCTTTCGGATAATATGTTAATTCCTTTAGTAATTTGACATGGCAGTATTTTCTCCTTTTCTGTAACCACTCTGTACGGCTTCGTTTTTTCACCTTTCTTTTTCTTCAAAATTACAAATAATAATCCTATGAACGCTATTGAGTCGACGTCAACCACCGCTGCCGGTGCCATGATGGTGACTGAGAGCGTGAGAGCTTGTGCAGGTTTGTCGTTACGTGTGTGAGCCCCATGGAACTCGGTCGAGCCGTCGGTTTTGCTTGCACAGGCAAAACTGACAAGCATTACCTAGCGTGTGGCGCTCTTTAGAGAAAGAACTATGGCAAATGTTCCTCCTGTGGTAAGTGGTAAAGCCACATTGCAGCTATAATAGTTCTAGTAAGAATGGGTTGGTTCTACTGGGGAGGGCCACGCTCTCACAGAATACCAGCGTAAAATAGCAGCTTAAGGCTGTTTTGTTGAGTGTAGAGAACCGGTGACCCTTTTTACTGGAAACGAGGCATTCCATCTTAGTCCTTGACAACGCATCTGCATTTTATTTTTAATCTAGGATAAATGTAGATGTTTATGGGCCACAGCATCCACTTACCATCAGGTGGACTGTGTGCTCGTTTGGCACTCTTATTCTATTAAAAAAAAACTCGTAGCAGTGCCCTCTGTGTATGTCCTGTGGCACAAACTAACACAGTTATTATTCCTAGTGAAACCCATACTAAGTCTAAGGATAATTTGGCAGAAATATATCGGCTGAATTGAAATAGATTTCATAGTGAACTTTTCACGATATATTTTAAATTATACAACGGTAGTACGAAATTCTGCATTATTCAACTACATTTTGTTGCAAGATGTCAGATGAAGCTTCCTTCCTTCTTCTTCGGATTGATAAAAATCTTTAATTTTACTAAGTCATATAATATAGTAAATGAATTTATCGACAATGTTTTTCGTTTCGCTAATGACACATCAATAGAGGTGTCTATGGAATGGAAAAACGGTAACCAACTTGTAAAAGAAAGAAGGTGAGAATTATAGAGCTATCTTATTCTGGACTATGTTAAACGTCATAGGTATAAAGACTTCAGCTATAAGAATTTCGTTCCTATTTTAGGACTCTCTATGCTAGTAATTACTCTGAGGTTAGAAGTAATAGTTATAAACTTATTTGCGGAAATTTGTGTGTATTTAAAATAGTTTAAAAAATTACAATAACATGAGCGCTTAAGGCCATGCATATTTGGATTTCCCAAAAGTTTTTAGCCTTATTCGAAATTACCTAGATTCTTATTTTAAAAGGTCCGTTAAACGAATTTTATGCAGTGAAAGTGAAATGAAAATGACATTTAAATTAAACGAATATGGACACGAAAATTAAATGGAAATTAAACGAAAACTCACTCGTTGGAATGTTTAGGTTAGCTTAGGTTTATTTGGTACCTATTCCCATAATACACGAATAGACATTTAATAAAACTAATGTTACGGATTTTATTAGTCGCGTTACGGTTATATATGTAACGTTAACTTAATAAATGGTACTTATTCTATAAAGCCCTGTCTCTATTTTCGTCCTCATCATAATTTTCAGCCAGCACTGCGGTAGCAGTACAGATCTAGACTAAATCTGTGGGTAGCAGTATGCAGGGCATAAAAGTACTTTTAGAAGTGTCCGTGCTACTATTAAATATTAAAGACAAGAACTTACAAAAATATAAAATACTAGCTGATTTAGACTTACAATAAATAGTATATTCGGCTACACGCCGAATACCGAATATTCTGCGGGATTCCTGGCCGAATAGCCAAATATTACTCTTACTCAAGTATTCGGTATTCGGCCTAATAGGAAAAAAAGTAGTCGAATAGGCTTGCTTGCCTCCTCTTCAATTAAAAAGTGCATCTGAAAATAAAAATAATTAACTTTATTGTTTTTTACATTGTACATATCCATCTTCTATATATATATATATATATATATATATATATATATATATATCATCTCTTTTATATGCTGTAATGGATGGCATTCCAGCACATAATAATCCACCTCTGAAAATGGGCTTCCCATCCCTTGCATCGTCTAGTAGGCTGTTTGGCAATCGCAGTTTTTCTATTACATATTATGAGTTTTTTTTTATATAATTTCAATTAGAAAGATTCTGCTGCTCATCTTAAGTTTCAGCTTCTCTTTATTGCCTCCGTCGCCACTCACTGGGCGACATGAGGTAGTAGAAATTTTTACACCGCTAACCAC